TCAAGAACAAGATGCTGCTGAAAATAAGCATTCGGAAGGTAATATGGTGTCTATCCCTGCCTGCAACAACAGGTCATTTCTTTTCTTCTTTTGGTGACTCTCTCTCACAATTCTTGTCCTGACAACTTAGCACTCTTTTAAAATAGGAGGTTGTAGTATCAAATCCCTATTGTCCAATAATGAATGGATATAAGGAGTGTTAGGATCCAAACGCGAAATAAATAATATTGAGATATCAAATGCATAACAATTTAATAGCAAATAAGCCACAAGTATGAAAGATAAACGACACACAATATTTAACGTGGTTCGACTCTACCATTAAGCCTACATCCACAGAGAGAAACCTGTTCTTTATTATGAGAGGAAAAACCCTATACAAGAATACAACTCGAACCCAAGTCCAACCCTTATATACCATCTCTCATCTCTCAAGAACCCTCTCTCACACCCTATATATAAGGCTACTTGATGCCCCTTGTGTTTTCTTTGTGTGTCTTTGTAGTATGCCAATCTATCTATTTATAGAGAACATTACTGCCAAAAAATCAAATAACAATTGGAAACCAATACTATTTCTTAAACTCATATAGAGTAAAAAATAGCATCTAATTCTAGCTAAATACGGCTTTACTTGACTACTACTTCAAATAACTAAATCCAATTAGGAAACTAGTTACTTTGCACGTCAAATAGGAATCTTGACTAAAAGAAATTAAGTCAATTTCCTGACGAGGAGGAATCAAATTCACATTTGTGCCTAGAATGTGAACCATTTAAAAGAATCTGGAGAGCATCACAACTGGGTTTTAATTTCGACGCAGGACAGGGGCTGGTGTTGGAATTTTACTGGATGGCTGAAAATGCCGACCAATACTGCACTTACCAAAGACCTGATCAAGCTTTCTGCATGCATTTTTATGGCACTTGAAAAAGGAAGCAAGCACGACCAAATTCATTCATCCCATGGTCAGCTTGTAAGATGGTGGAGAGGATATATAGCCTATGGTGGATACTATACTGCAGAATTAAATCTGCGCAGCTTACCTACGAATGGATCAACAAATATTTGCATATATAGAAACAAATGTAAACGCTTATTTTGTGTACATAGACACAAAAAATGTCTATGAAAAAATATTGGTTAATCAGTAGTTCAGTGCACAAGTATATTACAAAAATCAAATAGTTCAGCCCCAAGGCATGGTAAGTGATTATTATGCATTATTTTTGTGGAGACCTCTACATTTTTTTTTTTACTATAAAATCTTAAAAACCAAAACCAAAACCAAAAAAGAAGAAGAAAACACTAGTATGTGTTTGTTTGGTTGGATAGGAGTTTATTTAGATGATTTATTTGAGATAATTACTGTAGTATTTTTGTGATATGATGTATGTGAGATAAAAAGGTAATTGAAAAGATAAAAAAGTGATTGAGATTTATGAAGCAAATTATTTTTTTCCAAATCATTTCAATCCAAACACACTACTCACTACTATAACATTGGTTAAACTTGTAAAGTTTGACCAAAAGAATGATTAACAAGTCCAAAATCAATAAATAACTCCAAACCACGAAGGCTAGCATTTTACTCGGGAACTACTAAATAATTTAGGATTAATCTTTTATACACCGATAATATATACATAATTATCATTAAATGTATGACAACTCATTTAAATTTAAAATCTAAATTTTGTTCATATGTTATACATTCAATCATGATAGTATATATACTATCAGTATATATAAGATTCATTCAATCATTTATACTCATATCGCATTTATAGAATCGTCACTGTTTAGAATTTCCTCCATTATTAATAGTACAACAATTTAGGACTGGCGTAAGAGTTGGAAAAATTGAATAAACTAAAGAGACAAAACAGGGAGAGCAACTGGTAAAAGCATAGTGGGGTATTTTCTTCTCCTAAAATATTTCATTAACCAAAAAATAGGGGAACAGACTAGCTAGAAATATATGCCTTGCGGTTCAGCCAATGAAAAGACCAAAAAGTCCTTAAACTTGTTGACGCTCCACGCTAACGCCCTTCGGCCCACTACTAGATGCCCTGCACGAGCAACGTCCTAATTAATTACATCATCGTCGTCGTCATCGTCATCGTCATCTCCCTTCAATAGGCGACGGCAGTAGCGAAGACGAAGAAGAAAAGATGGCGGAGACGATGAAATGCTTGTCGTGCAAGGAGGAGTACTGGTCACGTGACGCCGGCACGTGCCGAGAATGCTACGAGGAGGCCAGCGAGACCGAGGAAGAGCTCAAGCGTGAGATCGACGACCTCAAGTCCAAAGTCAACTTCCTCCGCTTCTTCTGGGGCCCCCCGCTCCTTTCCCCTCCTCTCTTCACCGACGTCGTTTTGGTCGCCTCTGATGACCATTCCACCGCCTCCTGTCAGCCCGTACCCGTCCCCGCCCATCGGGCCGTTCTGGTTAGTTTTTTTTGATCGGCTTTAGATTAGTAGTACAATGATTCATGCTCGGGGTTGTTGCTTGAAGTACGTTAGAACTTTTTTGTAGCGGAAATGATTGAAGGGCAATGCTGCAAAAGTTGGAACTGTATGCTTAGTCCACGCTTCAAATACTTGTACATTGGTTGAAAGTACAAATAATAAAGAAAATGGTACAATTACTGCATGCGCTTGGTACAATTTCGTACTCTTGACTCTGGAACAACTGTTATCTTTTAAGCGGTTGTACTGTATGCATAATTGCTCGCACAATCTAGAAGGGTACATCCAGTCAAAGCAGTGGTGAATGGGCTAGCTGTGCCTAAATATTTCTGGTTGAAAATGTGTTTATCTTTAGTCAAACTTGTGTTTGTTATGGCTTGACTAGTTCAACCATGAAATAAAAAAAAAAAAAAAGAAGAAAAAGAAGGTTCTTTAACTCATTTGTAAATGATGTTTGTGTAACATTTGACATTATTTTAAGTCTGTTCGCTCAATTTGGCATTTATATAATAGTGGTGCTTAATGTGTATGTATTTAAAGAGTTGCTTGGATGGTAGTCTGATGATATGCCTGAACTTTGCCAAATGTAATGATGCCAACTTCTCTGATTAGGTAATCTTGGCTAATCTAAAGTTTTAAATCACTATGACAACTTGATGTCACAGAAATAAGACCAGGGAATGCGCATAGAGTAATGCGGTTCCATTAGATAAATTTCAAGACTTCAGATTTGACTGGTTTAGGAGGAGGAGTCATTAGTATTTGGCTGTTGCCTACCTGCAGTTGGAAGTAGGAGCTGTGGCTTTAAGTAGAATGCTCAGGTTAAAATGTTCTTTAGTAATAAATAAAGGTAACGATCCCGTCTCCCACATGTGTGCCTGTTTCTCATGTAATTTTAAACCAACATAGTATTCTACATGTTTCCTTTTTCCTTTTTAGTGTATAAAATTCAAAGTATTGTTTGGTCATGCCCTGTTAAAGTAGGTGCTTGTTTGCTTGCATGAGCTACTCTTTTGGCTTTGATAAAATTTGGAGGAATTCATTACTTAAATTGTTCATGTGTTGTGCTAACATATAAGCCATCTTTTTGTAGGAACGTGGTTATTCAGGTGACAGTAATTGAAGATTCATGCATAAGTTTTAGGATCCGTCAATAGAAGATTTATGCAGAATCTAATTACTTATTAATTTTTATTTCCTTTTATTTATCTTTTTCGTGTGTGATCTTAAAGAGTGGCCAGCATGTATGACGTGATCAGTACAAAAGTTTCAACTTGGTTGAAGATGTTCAATTGATGGCTGAGGTTTAAAAGAGAATTTAGGTCAATCTAAACCATGATTTTAGCTACTATGGTATGTATAGAAGAATGTATTCTGGTGTTTTGAGGACATATGGCCAGATTGCTAGTTATTTGCTTAGCATGTCTTGGTGCTGAATCTCATCAATTTGAGAGCCTGAGAAGTTCACTTGACCCTGGAGATCTTTCTCTGAACGAATTCACCACAATGTCCTGTTCAATAAAAGCTGTTAAAACATATTTATCTCAAGGATATTGAGAATTTTGTTTTGCAACAGGCCAGCCGTTCCCCAGTTTTCAAAGCCATGCTGGAAATTAAGATGGAGGAAAGCCTCAGCGGAACAATTAAAATTTGTGATGTGTCATATGATGCCCTTCGCGCCTTCATCAACTACTTGTACACTGCAGAAGCTTGTCTCGATGTGAACATGGCTTGTGACCTCTTGGTATTGGCTGAAAAGTACCAAGTCAAACATCTGAAGACTTACTGTGAGAAGTTTCTGATATCTAACTTGAGCTGGGAGAACTCAATCCCAATCTACGCTTTTGCTCACCAGCACAATGCCAAAAGCTTGGTTGATGCTGCCTTATCACTGATCATGGACAACATGGAGAAACTACGCAAGCGGGAAGAGTACGCCGAACTCGTCGAGAAGGAACCCCGCATGGTTGTGGAATTCTATGAAGCTTATCTGTCTAAACAGGTCAACACTGCGGCAAACAAAGGTTCTACGCCAAAGGCATAGATGGTTTTGCAGTCTGGCAGATGAGACGAAATGGAATAGAGTAGGAACTAGGTTTTTGGTTCTATGAACAATAATGTAAGTAGATATATATTCTAATGTAAATTGCTTATTAAGTGGATAGCTTCAGGATGTTTTGATTTCTCTTCATTCAAACCTTGTAAATCCCAAACCCCTTGCCTTTTTCAGTCCACTGAAACAGAGCGTTTCTTTTCTAGTGACGGCCTACTCTGGGTATGGCTTGAAAATGAGAATTTTTTGTTCTTTTTAACTATCCTCTTGGACCCATTTCCATATTTTACGTTGAAAGTCATCCCTCGGGTTGTCATGGATGGTATTGGTAGGGCAAATTAACGTGCAGAAATTGACTTGCTAACGCTAGTTGGTACTGTGCACCCGACAATGGTTTGATCATATGAGAATTACTTGTAGGATGCAGCAACTTAACAGAATCATGAATTCTAGCCAAGAAAGGAATCATTTGTAAGCATGAAGTAATCTAAGGTATGTACAATTTACAGATTACAACCTAAACAAGTAACGTTTGCTTTCGAGAGAGGGATGAATTGAACGGTACAGACGAACGAAGAGAGCGTTAAATGCAAGACTGCGACTTCAAAACTTGACGCTTACACTTAAAAGAAAAAAAAAAAAAAAGTAATGTTTGCTTTTTTGGTATGCTACGCTATCTAAGAATCAGAATGCAACATCATATTCTTAAACTCCTCGAAATCAAGCTTCCCATCAGAATTAGTATCGTACACGTTAATCATACTCTTGCAATCCTTCCCACACTGTTCATCCAACAATCCCAGTTTGCATAATGCGCTCTGCAATTCCTCACTGGAAATGAATCCATCTCCATTCAAATCGAAAACCTCGAATGCTTGGACAAGATCTTTCTCCATGTGCTTATCTTCTTCTTCTTGCTCCTTTGTTCTGAACTTCTTTTCATCCATATTCTCCCCACTGATGACAATATCATGAAACAACAAGAAATCAATCGAGTCCAGAAAACCCTTTTTGCCGACCAATAATTCGAGCTCATCCAAGCTAGTTTGGACACCAATGGTTTCCAGAAGCCACATTAGCTCGTCAACGCCGACGAAGCCATCGCCATCTCTGTCCAGCTTGTCGAAAATCCGATGCAAATTAGAGGCGTTAATGGGACACATTTTGTTGCAGATTGTAAAGGGAAATGAAGAAATTTTCTTAAGCAAATCAAGAATCGCTCACTTCTGTGAAATGCTTCGATATTTGGATGATACCTGCATTTTGCTCAGGTAGCTTGAAGAATTTATACAGAAACTCTGGAGGGAGACTCTTTAATTTTAACCGAATATTCCAGAAAACTCTTGTACATGCCTGTACGAAATTTGGTCTCGACGATGACCCCTCTTGTGTTACTTATGTGGCTGAAATTTGACGAGGAAGTCGGCAAGAAGTTTCGTCAAGGGAAATATCTGCTCGAAAAGACAATAATGTTAAAGTTCTTTAATTTGTCCGATTTGATTTACAACACACGTCCGTAACAAAAGTCTAGAGTTTTCTCGAAGACAATACTTTGCTTTGTACGGAGCAAGTAAGGATGTCTGGACAGGAATTATTTGACATTTCTTGGTCAGAAGTTTGAGGAGTGGAGTTCTGTTTTTAGTCCACATCTAGTTGAAAAACTCCAACTATCCCTTAGCACGTTTTAGCTCTTGTCATTTATAATTTCATTTAATATGACTTACCCCAAAAAGAATCCACTGAATATGAATTCTTGGGTAAAATTTCAGACCTATATTATACAGAAATTAAAAGCAAAGATGCTTAGCTTTGTACAATTATGCACCTTTGTACAAAAAAAAAAAGAGCACCAGAATATCATTTTACACGTCTCTCTTTATCATATGCCACCTATTCATCTTCTTTAGGTTCCAATAATCAACAAAAAGAAGTTCATACTAAAAATACATGCCAGGGGAAGAAAAAAAATAAGAAAAGAAAAGAAAAAAAAAAAAAAAGCAAGAGCAGACACAGAAAGGAAAGGAAAAACCAACAAGTTTCTCTGGACTTTTGTTGTCTGGCATTAAATTCAAGGCAAAAGCCGACCATACGAAAATCATGGACAAATTTGCAATAGTACATCTTGAACAGCAAGTTTCTAGAAGTTGGAAACCAACATCATATTCTTAAACTCCTCAAAATCAAGCTGCCCATCAGAATTAGTATCATAAGCATTAATCATGCTTCTACAATCCTTCCCACCATCCCACAATCCCAATCTGCACAATGCACTCTCCAACTCTTCACTGGAAATGAATCCATCACCATTTGAATCGAAAACCTCGAAAGCTTTGGCAAGATCCTTCTCCAGAAGGCTATCTTCTTCCTTCTCCTTCAGCTTCTTGCTTTGATCAAGATTGTAGCCCTTTATGACAAGGTCGTGAAAGAACACAAAATCAATAGGGTCGAGACTCTTTTTACCTATCAGTAACTCAAGCTCGTCTTGATTAGCACGGACGCCGATGCTATCGAGCAGCCACATTAGCTCCTCTAGGCTAACGAGGCCATCGCCATTTTTGTCGAGTTTGTCGAAAATTCGATGCAAATCAAACAGTTTAACTGAAGACATTTTTACTATCTATGACTTAGAAATGAAGCAGATGGACTACTCTATATAGAAGAAAGAACGCCTGCTTTCGCATCACTATTCGCTAATGCTGTTGTGAGTACAATAATGTTTAAAGAAAGCGTAATATTTAAAGGGTTAAGCTGAATGATGAGTTGTTGGAATTTTTCCAAGGAAATCTTGTTGTCCTGCTCTTGTACGGATCTGTAAGGATATGTGGCAAGAGACCTGAGTTTCATCTTGTGGCTTAGGCGGTGAGGAGGAAGCTTGGAGGAAGTTTCCTATGAAAAAGATTTTCAGAATGGACAATTTTTGCATCCAGATTTTTTTTCGTTTGCACCACAATCAGCTAGATCGCCAAGATCAGATCTCTATCCCAAGTACAAATTTTAGTTTGTCTTTACGTGAAGCAATGGAGATAAAGAAGATGGGTGCTCTGCACAACTTCTATTATTTCTGGACCTCCTGCCCATTCACGTTGTAGATAGGTATTACTTTTGTCTTTTGAACACCTAACATTCATCACTATCCGGCTATCCCCTTATTTATAGAAGTTTTTGGGATAATTGCAGAAACCTCTCCTAAAGTTTCTGACACTTGCACTAACCTCCCCTAAACTTACTACTCCTTTGCAAATTCAGTCCAAACGATTAAAATATTGTTTTAGGGAGTGAAATTAGAATTTTAAACCAGATTTGCCCTTTGTGCTACATGTCCAATGAATGACAAAGTACTACAAATCAATTAACAATTAATAAACTTTGATGATTTGTATTTACTCTCAAATATTTAATTTTTGTTAAATACAAAACCTACCAGTTTTCCTTCCGTAAAAATATTAATATAATACTTTTTCAATTTTAGTTACAAACATTTATGTATTTAACATAAATTAAATGATTCAAAATAAAATACTCATAAAGAGCCAATACTTTACTCATCTAATGGATGAAAGTTATAAAGAATTAATGCTTTATGGGTCATTTCTTTTTTTAAAAATATTTAATTTATATTAAATAGATAACCTACCGATTTCCTTTTTGTAAGAATATTACTGTAACCCTTTTTGAATTTTACTTACAACATTGATATATTTATCATAAATTAAATGTTTGAAAGTAAAATACCCATAAAAGGCAGTACTTTAAATAGGTAATGCGTATTTGCCCATAAACTATACCTCTTAAAGTTTATTAATTGTTAATTGATTTGTAGTATTTTGTCATTCATTGGACATGTAGCACAAAGGGCAAATCTGGTTTAAAATTCTAATTTCACTCCCTAAAACAATATTTTAATCGTTTGGACTGAATCTGCAAAGGATTAGTAAGTTCAGGGGAGGTCAGTGCAATTTTTCGAACCATAGGGGAGGCCAGTGCAAGTGTCAGAAACCTCAGGGGAGGTTTCTGCAATTATCTCTAAGTTTTTTGTGAGCTATAAGTTTTTTTTTTGGGGGATAATTTCAGAAACCTCCCTTGAGGTTCTTAACAACTTCACATAGTTTTCTTGAGATTTAAAAAATTACATGTACCTCCCTCGAGTTTACCGTTTTGGTAACAAAAATTATTTAATGGTCAAAATTTTGAATGAATAACCCAAAATGCGCTCGTCAAATTGTGAAGTTCATTTTACCTTCTTATAAAAGTATTCAAAATCTATAGAACATTAACAAAATCTCAAACTCATTTCAACCCTCATTTCTACTATTTTAAACCTTTAATATTACCATATTTCAAATTAATTAGTACCATTATCACTATGACCATTACCACCATCAATCCCTAAATTCTAAAACCTCAATCAAAATTAACAACATTTGGACTGTTAAACTCAAAAAATTTCAATAATCGCATCAACATAACATCTTATTCCTCAAATATTGGAGTACCAATTCCAGCCCTATCCTTTTTAAACCCAATTTACATCTTCTTCTATTCATCTCCAGATCTTCCAAGAAAAGATAAAATTAATTTTTAATATGTTATTATTGTGTATAGGACATAATCGGTTATTCCATGAGTGAATTTTATTTTTGTTTCCATTAAATGTCTAATTGTGGGATGCATTCATATAAACAAAATTAGGAAGGATTGTTTAATTGCACGAAAAAAGATTAAATGTTAAGGTTATTATGATCATTTTGTAGGGTCAAGTTAGGTATGTGCAATATTGAAAAGCTCAATGGTACTAGGTGAAATCGTCAAAAACCTCGAGGGAAGTTTATGAAATTATCCCTTTTTTTGGAAGCTGCTTTTCATTCCTTTTCTTTTTTTTTTTTTAAACGATCAAGAAAAGAAGGCATGATTTTACATGAAATAGCTATGATTATTGTAACATAACGAAAGGAGGGAGGATTGGATGGGTTTTTATTTATTTTTTTAGTCAATTTACAAGTAATCGATGATTGTAAGTTTAATATAAACAAATTACAGAACACCAAGATTACAACTAATCCATAAATGGGAAGGAAATTAATAAGCATTAACATACACTTAGGCTTCTTTGGTTTTTTCTGGATAAGATTAATTACCAGTCAACAAACAAACCCACAAATGCTGAGTTCCCCCAAAAATGCTGAGAATTAGGACTCCAACACAATAATACAAATACAAAAAAATAAATTCATAGATAATTATCACATATAGTGAGATTTGATCCCAAAATTTCTAGCTTCTGGAGTTTCAACTTTGAGCACTAGCTAGATTAAGGCCTCATAGCAACATATGCTTAGACTAATAACACACTTTGTGACTCCTGGAATCCAAAATCCCTAACTTCAAGGCCTTTTCTTGAAATTGAAAAAAAAAAAAAAAAAGAAGGTCCTGAGACTTCAACCTTGATTGTTATACCACTAAATACTTGGCTTTTAATTAATTATCTGAAATTGTGGACAGAAATATAGCAATCATCATTTATTGGTGTTATTCTAAAAACCGAAAAGGTATTAGATTTCATAGTGCTTTAACATCATTACGTGCAAGATTTGATCTTAAAATGCACGACACTTTCCATTGAGCGAAATATAAGGACAGATAATTGCAGAAAATTGATTTCATGGAAATCTACAGCAATGGCCGAAAATCTCTTCCCAGAACTGAAGGATTAGAATATTAATTTCTCAAAGGAATTTCCTTCTTTGCTAAGAAAATAACACTTTGATGCATCACTTAGGGGCTTTGTAAAAGCAATTTCTTTTTTTGTTTGCGATGTGTAATTTTTTAGAGGGCATAAGCGTTCTATCAATGATTTGCATCGTAATCCTATTCACAGAATATCTTTAAACTAAAGGAAGAAAAAAGCAAGAAGATATTTTACACAAATAGTTTCCAATATTTGATGCAACGAGATGTTCAGAAAAAAAAAAAAAAAAAGAGCAAAAAAAGGGAGATATGCTGCCCAGTAAACATCTCATTGCCTATCCCAATCCTACGAACCAATATAAATTCAAAGCAAAGAACACAAATAGTTTGATTTGAATTTGCAGCAAGAAAATAAATCATCCCCAATGTACCATAGTATTGGTGGAGAATGCGATTATGTAGAACTCTATAGACTCATTTTCCGTAAATATTGAATTTTAGCTGCTATTGTTCCCATGATTTTGATATTTAGACCAGTCAAAAATAATTTTTTTTTTAATGTAAAATTCCCTAGTCTGATGATCGTATTAGGTCCGTGACTAATTCAAAGTCAAGCACTATCAGACTCCTTTAAAGGGTGGGTCTTCCAATGTTAAAAATTTTATGAAGCTGTTTTGGATTGATCGAAATTTAATGAGAAGAACTAAACGTGCCAAAATGAAATACTAGAAATTTAAGCAGCTAATTGATAGTTGCCAACAAATAGATGTTGTCATGCCTCTAACTCGCACGTGCCAGACATGTGGCATCTGTCATATTCTCAAGTCTCGTTCGAGAAATATAAAGTTATATTTTAAAACGAGTAATATTAATGATATTAAATTAGAAAGTTATAAAAATAAAACTAATTATGATGCGGTAAAAATCCAAAACTAGAATAGCCTAAGGTTCAAATGAGTCCACACGCTGAACAACTAGCGGAGATAAGTTATCAAGTAGTAAGCATTCTGGTACATCTAAAAATAGAGTGTTACTACTATTTTTATTTCGGCCTTATGACTGGTCCAACGTCGGGCACTAGAAAATACATAGTTTTGTTCATTTAGAATTTGTAGTGGTATTTATTTCCTTTTTAGATTAGGACTTTTGTAGCCCATAGAAAGGCTTTCCTAGGACTTTTATAAGCAGTCTTTATCAATTATTATAGGGTAAAATAAAAAAAAAAGCCCCCTGTGATAAACCTAATATACAGAAAAATCTCCTGTGGTTTCAAAATATACAATGCGACATCCCATACTTTGAACTAAATTGTAAAAATTAACGAATCCGTTAAACTTAATGGAAATGACTTATTGGAATCTTAAAAAAAAAATTATACCTAATTTTTAACAAATATACATGTTTTGCCCCTTAACCTTCAATTCTCTCTATCTAAAGAATAAAACAAATGATTTTTTTTTGAGCTGTCTTTTGCTTAATTATGTCAGGGTATTTTGGTTTATTCTCCATTTCCGTTAAGTTTAACGGATTCCGTCACCTTTACAATTTAGTTCAAAGTACGAGATGTCGTGTTGTATATTTTGAAACTACGAAGGACTTTTCTGTATATTAGGTTTACTACAGGAGATTTTTTTGTTTTTTACCCATTATTATATCAAACTAGTTATTTTTACCCATTGTTGGCTGCGAGTTTTCTCTCATTTATATAGAGGGTGTTCGTGTAACTCATTCGCTTCTCACGCTTTCACCACCGCATCAAATTTAGTTCGTAAGTGTGCTTTTGCAACTACAATCTGCACTCTATGGCGACAAAGGAACAGGAGTGTCTTTTTGTTCAATCCATTGTTCCACTGATCCACTCATTCGGAACAACAAATACATCACGTATTCAAAAAGTAAAGGCCAAAATTGATAACTCACGTAATTTTATTTTTATCTATTTTTTACATACTACACCATTTGATTGACTCCCAATTTCGTCCCTAAAATTTCTGAAGTTTGGTGCATGTGACATTTTTCCAGTGAAGATTTGGCTGCAAACGTGTTTTTAGGAACAAAAAGAGTACGTTTCGAATTTGTAAGGAACTAAAATGCTTTGCTTTGTGTGGAGGAACTAAAATTTAACATCGGTAAAATGCGAGGAACAATTGGTATTGTTTTTCTTTTTCTTTGTTTTTGAGCAAACTATAGCTTTTTCATTGATCAAATTCAAAACTGTCAATTCGCGCAAAGTAGCAGCTACTATATATACATCATGACAACTCTATATAGTTTCGTGTTCTATTTACAAAGAATAACCAGGGGTCTCAAAGCTATTGAAACAGGAAGGAGAGTTGCTCCAGTCAAGGATGATGCTCCAATTGGTTTTCAGCCGAGGGACCCTGTTCGAAAATTCCTGCTGAAAAAATTGAGCGTGATACTAAAAACTTTTTATATTTTATATTAAATTTCTATACTTTGTCAAATAAGTCTTATGAATTTAGTTACAAACTCATCAATTTTCATTTATAGTCTGAAAATACTGAATTATGGGTACATTTTATGTTTTTTTGTTACACTCTTATTATAATTAGAGTTTTTCTAACGGCTGCCCTTGGAGCACTCGTTAACACACCTAGTATTCATACAACCTACCATATATATACACACATTAACTATTATTATTCTCTCTTACATTTATAGACCTTTTCTATTTAATTTTGCCTACCCTCTCTCTTGTAGTTATTTACTTTTTATAATTAATCTTATATTTTTAAAAGTATAACATTTGAAATATAAGGCATCCGCTAGACAAACTGTTATATTTATGACATCATTCAATTTTCCAATTTTGAGGTTTAGACTTGCTCGCTCGAACTCATTGACCTAACCGTTGAACTCAACTGAATTGTTATATGGTCAAAGGGCAAATGATAATGCCACAATTTATATTTTATTTTCGCAGCAAGTTTATGTTGAAATGACAAAATTACTCCTCCTAAGTCCAAATTGCATTTGGACTTGAGAAGGATAATTTTGACATTGGAATTAAAAAAAGGGATAATTTCCCAAACTTCCCCTGAAATTTATGACAATTACAAACAGTATCCTCCACATTTATAAAATTACACCTGCCTTCCCTCATGGTGTAAAATGACAAAAACAACATTATGAATTACTCAATTTAACATTCCCATGAAGTGAAGTAATGCATGTTTAAAAATTAAAGATAACAAATCATTAAAAGAAGAAAAAACAAAGAAATCCAAGAGTAATAGATTTGCTCTAGTCTTAACCACCCAAATAATCTCAAATACAATCTTACTTAATATTGTAATATCATCTCAAATCTTACTTAATATTGTAATAATTTGAGGAAAAAATTTCAAGATTCTTACAAAAATAAGTTACTTACTCAATTGGTATCCAAGATTTTTTTTTTTCCAATTTATCCATGCGAATGTTTTTTTATCGGAGTGAAGAGAAACGAATTTGATAGATAGTTTTCTTAAACTATGTGGCAATATATTAAGTTTAAAATTACAAATGAATTTTATTTCTATGGAGAAAATTCACCTAAGGGCAATATAGGATTATCAATGGGGATGTTTTGGTTACATCAGTAAAGTGAGCTCCAAACTATTTTCTAAGGGACGTTTATATAATTTTTTTAAACCTAAAGGGTACTTTCTGCAATCATCTGGGAAGGCCGTGGCACTAACACCACCGATTCCCTAAGTTTCAAAATAATGAAAGGCTGATAGAAGAAGGGATAGACTACAGAGCAACAAAAGTCAAATTTGCCACGGGTAGAATTTCTGTTCTCTTTTATCTAGAAGTACGTGTCATCCATGTATCTGCTACGGTTGGCGGTTTTGCGTTCTTGAGAAAGAAAAAAAAAACACTAGTGGTTGACTTTGTTTTCTTTGATTCATTTTTTTATTGGTTGGCTTGTTGAAAGTGGATGTCTAGAAGTCTAAAGGCACAAATTCGAAGAAATTGGCAGAATTCCGCCACCACGGAAGAAAATAAACTAAAACTCCTAAGCATGATAAGGACTTGTTCGGGCATTGAACAGGCTAAGTCCTGTAGAAATGGCGGCGGATAAGTATGACATATTAGGGACGCGGGGTCATTGTCAACACCATGTAACTTTCTTTGTACGTCGTGTAATTTTTTTTTCACATGATGTATTTTCACAACAGATAGTGGTGGGTCCCATATTTGACACGAAAATCGAGTTACATGGTGTAATCTCAGCCGCACAAAATTTTGAGGACCAATCTTGGCCCTCAACCGTGCAGGGACAATCATACTGATGACCGTCCCTGCCCCAAATCCGACATATTAGGATATGCTGTCGTGAATTCCTCCTACAACTGTTCCTGAGGTCTATGATCAAATTTTGGTCAAAAAATATATATATATATATATAAGGTTCAAATCGCATCTTATTTATTATTTTTCATATCATATATGAAATTTATAAAATTTTATTCAATAGTTATACATTATTGAAAGTGAATTATATTATGTGCATACAAAATTATATATTATGTATTTTATACAAAATCAATTTGAAAGGTTCTTTGACAAACCGGTCCGGCCCCGTTGTTCGAATTCTTCTGGGATTCTCATTGTGTGTGAGGTCAAAACAATAATATGTCAAAACTTTTGAATTAGTCCTTCAAATAACGTGTACCCATTTACATTAATTCTTCAAATAAGTTTTGTAATAATAGCCTTTATAGTTCATATGATCTCATCATACTTCATTTTCATGATTTTGAATCATATTTTGAATAGTACAAAATTATATGTCAATAGAAGTTGAATTAATTAGTAAAGACGGATCACTGCTTCACAACATATTTCAATTGAGAAATGTTGCATCTTTTTTTTTTTAATCCAAAGATAGCTTTTGGATTTTTGTTTTTACCTAAACAATTGACTTTATCAATTTAAGTATATGTCTATCCACTTTATCAATGAAAGATACAGCGAAATTTATTTTTACAAGCTATAGTAGATGTGGAATCCACTTCATTTATCTTAATTAGACTTTTTTCTTTAAAAAAAATTAATGGGTATTAATTACAAGCTTCATATTAATTTAATCAGAGCCGGCCGTCTTTATACCTATTGATCTTTTAAGATCTGAATAATTAACAAAAAGAAGAAATGTACTAAAAAGACATACTAGGGGTGATAAGAAAACGCACACACAAAAAAAAAAAAAAAAAAAGGCCAGAGCTTACAAAGAAATGAGAAATCAAGTTTATTTATTTTCTATAATTACATTTAAGTTTTGTATAGTTCCGATCACTATTACGGGTCAGGAAACCAACTCTCCTTCAATTTCTGTGGTCTCGCAATAAGTCCAACGTAAAGGTCGACCATATCAAAACCGTGGACAAATTTTCAATAGTCCAATTATAATACCAATTTTCTAGAAGTTGAAGCCAACATCATACTCTGAAACTCCTCAAAATCAAGCATCCCATCAGAATTAGTATCATAAACAGTAATCATGCTTCTATAGTCCTTCCCTCCATCCCACAATCCTAATCTCCACAATGCACTCTCCAACTCGTCACTGGAAATGAATCCATCATCATTCAAACCGAAAACCTCGAAAGCTTTGGTAAGATCCTTCTCCAAAAGGCTATCTTCTTCGTTCTCCTTCGGCTTCTTGCTTTGCTCAACATTGTAGACCTTTATGATAAGGTCGTAAAATAGCACAAAATCAATAGGGTCGAAAGTCTCTTTACCCATGAAGAATAACTCGACTTGATTAACGTGGACGCCAATAGTTTCGAGCAGCCACATTATCTCCTCAAGGTCAAGGGCAACTTCGCCATCGCCATTTTTGTCAAGTTTGTTGAAAATTCGTGCAAATCATTCGTATTGAAGACATTTTACTACAACTTGAAATGAAGGTGAACGATGTTATAATAAAAGAAAAAAAATATCTATTTTCACACAACTAGTGTTGTCGTAACTTGTAAGTACATCGTTAAAGAGTTCGTACTGGTTAAAACATCAATTATTGGGATTTTTCTAAAGAGATCTAGATTGTCCCAGCTTGTACGGATCCGTAATGATTTGTGAAAATGACCCAAGTTTCAGTTTGTGGTTTAGGCATTCAGGAGGAAACTTGGCGGAAGTTTCCTTGGAAAAAAAATCTCCAGAATGGACAATTCTTGCATCAACATTGAGCTCTTTTGAACCACAATTATAACAAACCAATTTCAGACTTCTCTGCGAAGTGCAAATTTGAGTTTGTTCTTGAAGATATGGGGATGAAAAGACGTGCTTGCCACAATTTCTGTATTCCTGAACGTCTGTTATTCATTTTGTACGTATCAGTTTCTTTATTTGTCAAAATTTGTCATTTCAAGACACCTAACTTTCACCGATCACCGTTTGTCTCTCCCATTAGGCCAATGATATTGTCACAGCATTATTTTAGTATCAAAGCAAATTTTATTTTAATGACAAAAATACCCTTCCTAGTTAACACAACTAAGAATGTGCAAGATCCAAAAATTTCGATTTACTAACCAAATTCGCATTGAATTCAGAATTTTCGAAATTGGTAAGTTGGAATTCAGAACTAAAATTGGGTTTTGTGATTTCAAATTATGCCAATTTGGTTCGAATTTGGTAATGGGATTTTTGAAATCAGAATTCGGAATTCTTATTTAGATTTCAAACTCATTTTTCATATATATATATATATATATGTGATATTATATATATATGTAATGTAACATTTATATTATAATAATAATTTTTATATTCCTGAATTTGGTGATTTGAAATTCCTATTTCGATTTCAAATTCATTTTTCATATATATATATATATATGTGTGTATTATTTTATATATATATGTAATATAACATTTATATAATAATAATTTTTATATTCCTAAATTTGGTGAAATCAGAATTTACCGAATTCCGAATTGAATTCGGAACGAATTCGAATTCTGAGTTGGTGAATTTGAAATCGAATTCGATCAGAAATTTTGATGCCAAAATTTAAAAAAAAATTTGATTTCAAAGTTTCAAATTACCGATTTCAATTTCGATTTATACCCCTAAACACAACTCCGAAGTCCAAACTCTACAGTGCTCTAGATATATCGTGCTCCCAGTAGGAGTGGTTTTTGGGTTTTAGTGATTACGACGGTGCTGGTGGTGCTGAATTGACTCTAAAAACTATTTTGCTCTTGATAGCAAAAGTTTTCTTTTTTTTTAAAATTTTATTAATGATTTTATCCATGATTTTTTTAAAAAAAATTCAAGTCAACGTTGTGTTTAGCAAGATGAAGAATTAGATTAGCGGTGCGGTAGAATGGATTGAGTTTGCTCTTTTTATTTTCTTTCAATGGAGTCACGTGCGGGCGACTTTAATACATTGTTTTGAAAATTAGATCGAACCGGCCGCTTCAATCGGTTGGATCGCGAACCAATCATAACTCTAGTTCGGTTCATACTTTAAACTGATTGGACTTAAAACCGATAAAAACCGGTCAAACCGTATGGAACCAGTGGTTTTTTGTCTATTAAATTGAAAAAAAATAAAAAAGAATAGGTTTTTTTTAACCCTAAAGACTAATTATTAAACGCCATATTCACTTACTTTCTTCTCATTTTTTATCTTTTATCAAGTTTGTATCTCTATTTTCTATTTTTCTAACTTCCTCTAAACTCCAAACTTTTTTTAAAATTGCAATCTCTAAATTCCAAAAATGTGAATTAAAATTTAAACTCACAATGTCTAATTCCCATAAACATGAATTTTGTATAATTTTAGAATATTGAAGTATTTTGGGTTGGATTTAAGATTATTTTTTTGGTATATATAATTGAGATTGAGATGAAATTTATTTGTTTCAACTTATAATTCAAAAAATTTATTTGTGAAAATCCAAGTTCTTTGAAAATATTAAAATTTTCATCATATAAATTCTTAAATTAGTCTAATGCATGTCTTATTTTTTGCATATATATTTATAGAAACTATTTTTTTAAAAATTCATTGAATTGGGCTTGAATCGGTCTGACTGATTGAATCTCGATCCGAGCACCTCACCGGTTCATTTAGCAGTTTGAGTTTCAAAACATTACTTTGATATGCATGGCTATGGTCAATTTGATTCTTCTACACTAGACTCCATACAAAATGTGAACATATGGTTCGAGACTATATTATTGTAATTTAAGTGGGTGGGGAGTGGTAGCGGCGCCGAAAAGAGGATGGCGAAAGGTTGCATGAAAGAGGAGGAGGCACTAGGGTTGACGAATAGGAGGACGCGAAAGGGTAGGTAGGGTGCGGAAGAGAGAAGAAGATTTGTAGTGGAAGACTAGCAGGCTTTGTTGCTATGTTTTGAAACTCGGATCGGACAGCAATTCGGTCGAGACTAGGGATCAAGAATCAAAGGGTTTGATCGAGTCGGACCGATACAAAGAATTAGATTATGTCAACATGATGTCATTAATATAACTCAAGTAAAAATTAAAATACTATGTAAAACACTAACATCATATTAGCGTCAAGAAATGTTTATTTATGTATGGTTGATGTTGCAAAACTATTTAACAAGAAAAAACAAATAAAACTAAATAATCAAGAAGCAAATTTCATAGATTAATGCATATTTTATAAGTTTATAATTAAATTTATGGGCTCCTTTGAAAAATAACACTAAAATTTAGGACTAATTATAAACTACAAAAAGTTTCTAGAAGCATCAACAATTTTGTAAAATGGTAGGGGTCAAAACATAAAAATGAAAAAAGTTTTAAAACTTAAACTAGCGTTCCTCAAATTTCATCACGGCCACCTAGAAAATGGGAGTCTAAAGAGATTTTGTATTAAGAATTAATAGGTACACAGACCTTACTAGACCAAGAGAGTGTTGTGGCACAACCCTTGGATTTTTTTTGCCGTAGATGGGATTTGAACCCCCACCTACAGTCCAAGCAGGGTCTTAAAATCCACCTTGGTGGCCACTTAACTAAGTTCTGTGGTTACATGTATTCTTTTGTTGCTTTCTCTATTCTCAACTTGTAAACTACTCCCGAGTCCCAATACCACCCTCCGCTGCTCCTCTTTCTTCTTCTTCTTTTTTTTTTTGTTTTTAATTTCCTTTCCATATTTATTTGTGTTTTTTTCTTATTTTAAATCTGTTTTTTCCTACTAACTTCAATCTTCTCCCACCTTTTTCTTGCTATTTTCTTTGATTTTTCTCCTTTTTTATGCCAAATCTATAATTTGATCTTGTTTGAAGTTGGTTTTGATGGATTGGATGCTGCTAACAGAAGAAGGAACAGATGAGTGAAGAAGGAATGGATTTGCAGAGGAATGAAATCTCAGTAGGAAAAGTAGAACCAAAAAAATGCGGCAAAAAATGGAAAATTAAAATATTGGGTTCTAATTAGTTTTACCAGGTTTCGGTCAAACCCAGCCAAAGAGCTTTTGACAACCGATTTTATAAAGATACTCGGACCGAACCGATTGAATCGGATAATCTGGTCCAAGTTTGAAAACACAGCTTTGTTAACTACAAAGGATATCTTTGTCATTTGGTGAAAATTGGCTCTCTCGGTGAGATATTTACTCTGGTAATATCATTAGCAATACCATTACATGTAAAGATATTTTTCCCTCCTAGAAATTGATTTCCTTTCCTCTTTTTTTTTTTTTTGAGAAAAGAAATAAAGAAAAGAAACCATTAATACATATATTATACCAAATTAGGAAGAATTGATTGGGGAGTTAACTATTATTTAGTGAAATTACAAGCATCCCGCGATAGTAAAATTATCTAACAAATTACAACTAACTCAAATATGGTAGAATAGAACTACACATAATTTGGGAGATTTGAATCTAAAACCTCTAACTCCTGCATCCTCAATCTTGATTGTATTTCCACTAAAAACTTGGCTTTTAATTAGTTCACAGAAATTGTAGGCACAAATACTTCTTATCAATCATCATTAATTGCTGTTTCTCCCTTTGAAAATGGGAATAGATTAAACAGTTCCTTACCCTTATGACGTGCACGGTTTGATGCGCAGAATATTTTCATAAGGACAGATATTTGGAGAAAGTTTTTAACAAAAAAAATGATCATTGTTAACTAAATTATTGAAAATCGTCCAGCACGAATTGCTTTACAAAATATGGTGCCCATAAGATCAGATGCTTTGCATGAAAAACTAATTCATGCGTAACCTTATTTGCGTCTCTAGGAATCCATTTTACTTCAAGGATATTAGATTCCACCGGAGATAGACGAACTTCCTCGGCAATGGAACTGCTTTCAGATAGCACATCTTGCACATCTTGCAAGATATTAATAATCGATAGTAGAAGTGGCAAAATGGATATATGGTTGATAAATGGTTTTAGTTAAATGGATTGTGGATCAAATTGATCCAATCCAATTAAAACCATTTAATAAATGGATCTAAATGGATGTCATTTAAATGGATAGTGTAAACCATGATCCATCCATTTATCCATTTACTCTCCCAAATCCTAAATTTAAGATCAAAATGTTTTTTTCCAAAAAATACATATCCCCAAAGTTCTATCCTTAAATCACCTAAAACCTTTTGGTAATAACAAATGCTTGTACTACTACTCTATTTCAGTTCTTCATAAAATTAGTTTAATTCCAAGAAAATTTAACTGTTGTGGTCAATTTAACCTTTCGTCATTACTTTAAGTATCATTTTGTAAAGTAATGAACAATTAAGAACTTGGCTATATTTTTATAACTTTTGAATGAATTGAATACGGCTTTACAGT